AAAGAATCCAGGGCGGGTTACTGCCAATAGGTGGAAGAGAGGAAACATATCACAGACAAAGGCCAAAGCTCAGCCTTACCTCTTTCTCGTATTGCTCAATCCTGGTCTTCGAGAGAGACAAAAACTCAGCACAACTTTTCACCTTTAAAAGAAGGCAGAAATTCTGTTTTGAAAGCAAGTTAAACTGTCCTGACCTGAGGCTCCCAAGGTCTGAGAAGTCCCAGGGCCATACCACTCTGCTTTCTCACTCTCTAGGGACAATACATGGCTACCATAACTGCTGGGGGGAGCTCGCTTGGGAGACACACTTCAGCTTTTCCTAAATGCACCAAGAAGCCCATACAGGAGAATCAGCTTATGATGGCAGAACCAAGGTTCTTCAGCAAGTTACTCATCTAGGCAACAAAACGCTTGTTTCACAAGGGTGGTTACCAACTGGTCAAGGACTGACCGCCTAGCCAGACTTCTCTTTGGTGGAGCCACCTGAGCTCCAACATTTGAAACTGGATAATTTTCCTACCCTTAATTGGATAATTCCAACTCCTTAATTGTAACAGCTTTGTTGAGGTATAACTGCACTACAATAAAATGCACATATTTTAAAAATACCACTTGACTAGGGTTTTTTGTTTTTGTTGTTAATCCTCACCCGAGGATATTTTCCCATTGATTTTTAGGTAGAGTGGAAGGGAGGGAGAGAAACATTGATGTGAGAGAGATACATCAATTGGTTGCCTCCCACAGGACCCCAACCAGGGCTGGGGATGGAACCTAAAACCCAGGGACGTGCCCTTGACCAAAAATCTCCCTGACGTCGGTCCTGGGCCAAGGCTCTCACTGCTGAGCCAATTGGCCAGGGATCAGTTTTCATGTATATATCCACCCATGAAACCATCACCACCATCAAGAAAGAGAGAACAAATGGTCAGTCCTGTCCCTCCAATTCCCAGGCAACTACTGAAGTTGCATTTTCTAGAGTTTTATTTTATTGCTCCTTTTAGTTGGTTCCACCTCAACCTACTGACTAAGAAATACAGACAGACTCATCAGGAATTAAGAGAACTTTAGAATAAATAAGAGTTTCAACTACTTACATCTTCTTTCTCTTCAGCATCCACCAGGGCACTGTATTTATCCTCTGGCACAGGAACCTTCAGGGCATTAAACTATAAACACAGGCACAGTGAGTTGTCGTTAATATACCCAGGAGCCCAAAGAAAGGGCTCAACGCTGCTAATTCTTATAGATCAGATAAAAACACATTCTCCCTTCCAAGAGGAAACCAGTGTGAAGCTAGGGTGTTGTAGTAGAAAGGATATTAGACTGGGAAAGGGAGCTCAAGGTTCTTCTCAGCCTGTCATTAACTAACTGAAGACCCTGGACAATTCTTTATGATGATGACCTTCAGTTTCGTCATCTGAAAAGGACAGGTGGACTGGATGACCTCAAAAATGACCTCTTAGAACCTCGTGGTTCTAAGAAATTCTGATTTCTCTTTGAAGTGAAACCCTAGTGGACTTGGTGGAAGTAATGTTTGCATAATGGAGACAGAGGGTCTCCTTAGAAGACTGCTTAGTGTCATAAACAGCACTCAGCACCGCACCTGGCACAGTGTTGGCCCTTGACAAGCTACAAGAAATGACAGCTATAAGAGACAGTAAAAAAGGCGGTGCAGAGAAAGGAGGAAAACAATGACAGGGTAAAAAGATGTCAGTTTATTCCAAAGGAGACAGGTGGGGGACTAAGAAATAACTCAGGAAGAGATGAGTGGAAACATGACTGGAGACAGCTCCCTGATTAAGGCTATACTGTACTGTTTCTTTGGATAAGAACTTGCTGAATGAATAGACCCTGAATTCCCTGCATGTATTTACCATTTAAATCTACTAACATAAGACCATTGGCCACACCCACCTTGCCTGAGCTTCCTTTGGGATCTGAGTGCTAGCACCGCCCTTCTTTCCTTGCTGTCATCCTGTGTATGTATTTATCTACCACTCTCCCCTCACCCACCCACAAGCCATGTTGCAAGAACAGTGCTTTAGCTATCTGAGGTCTCACCTTCTTTTCAAAGTCATCTACCAAGCCGGCCTTCGCTACATTGGCCTTGTAGTAAGCCCAGTCAATAGCAGGTGGTTTCTCAGGTAGGGTAGCCAACCTGCTCACATGGAAAAGCAAGAATTAAGATTGTTCTATGAGCAACGCAAAACTCACACAGTAATTACCCTGTTCCTTATTCCTACCTTCTGAACCTATCACCACACTTTTCTCTAGGAGGGAGAGCATAGGAATGCAAAAAAAAAATTGCTTTCATTTGGAAAATACATGGATTTCTTTGTCCCTTCTGTCAGAAGAGCATCAGAAAGTCATATGTAGCCCAGCCAATGTGGCTCAGTGATTGAGGGTTGACCCATGCACCAAAAGGTCGCCGGTTCAATTCCCGGTCACAGCACATGCTCAGGTTGTGGGCCAAATCCCCCGGTGGGGACATGTGGGAGCATGTGGGGGGCATGCACGGGGAGGCAGATCAGTGTTCTCTCTCACCAATGTTTCTATCTCTCTCCCTCTCCCTTCCTTTCTCTCTAGAATCAATACAGAAAAAAAAATTTTTTTTTTAAAGAAAGTCATACGTAGCTCCAAATAACTGCTTTGTCTCCATATCCAGTGGCAAGTAAAGAGGCTTCCTCTCAGAAAGGTACTGACCTGGAGGTGAGGGTCTCATTCCAGGATTTTAGGGTGTTAGCAATGGCCTTCTGGTTCTGGGGTATGATTTCACCAAAAGCTATCCAGTCAATGGTTTTTAGAGCAAGTTTTCGCCCAGCCATCTTGAGATCCTGGAAAATAAAGTAAGTCAGATCAAAACAGGGCTCTTGGAAAGAATCCTATAAAGGTCATCTTAGAAACATGCAAGTCTTTCAGAAATAGATCAGCATCCTCTGAGTACTTGGCTGGATATATTTACTAACTAAAGAAATTAGGATCACTACATCAGAAAAGGAGGACAGCTTAGTTTGTCAAATTGAAGGTGTGCAACCCGACATATAAATACATTCTCTCCCCCTAAATGCTCCTCCCTCTATTCTTCAACTCCTAACTCTCCCTTAAAAGCCCAGGTCTCTAGTGTTTGCTCTCCATGTACCTTTGGAAATATTTCTAAAGTAACATTCGTGCCCTGCATTAAAGTCAGTAGTTTAATTTAAATACATTCCCACTCAGACTGTGTTTTAGTCATTGCTTCTCTAGTGCACAGAACTGACACAGACTTAAATAGAGCAGACTCTAGCCCTGGCCGGTTTGGCTCAGCGGTTAGAGCGTTGGCCTGCGGCCCTGAGAGACCCGGGTTCGGTTCCCGCTAAGGGCACGTACCTCGGTTGCAGTTTGTCCCCGGCCCTGGTCGGTTGTGCGGGTGGCAGCCACTCGATGTGTCCCTTTCACATCGATGTTTCTCTCTCTCTCTCTCTGTTCCTCTCTCTCCCCCCAACTCTACCTGAACAAAAAATGGAAAAATGTCCTCGGGTGAGGATAAAAAAATAAAATAAAATAAAAAAATAAATAGAGCAGACTCTAGACCAGAATTTCTTCACCTGGCAAATGGGGATAACATCAGCCCTGCTTACCTCAGAAAGCTGTTGAAAGTCTCAAATTCAACTGTGCACAAAAAGCGGCTCTACAGTCTTACACAAACCGAAGGGACTCTCTATGTCCTCCCTTTCAGATCGGTAATACCCTGCACTCCCTGTCTGAGTTATCCCCTGCAGACCCTCCACACACCCTGAATATATTAGCAACACCCTTACAAGAGGTATTTGAATATATATATGAACGTGAGAAAAGATGGAAAGTGATTACAGCCATTTTTTAAGTAAGACAGAATACAGTAAAATAGTCGATTTAAACTAAATAGAATTGGTGTCAAACATTTGGAGAAAGACTGACGTGTCAAAGGTCTTTACAAGGCCATGGGGTGGATCACAAGGGAGGTGGTGGTAAATTTCCCCCGGGATCTTGAAAAGAAACGTGTCCAACACTTGTCTTCCTTTCCTTCCCTCTCAGGATGCCTTGCTTCCCGGAATAGAGGTGACGGGCAGGTGACTTTTAAAGACACCAGAGGCATAAGCGTCCTTAAAGAGGCCTCTCCAAGCACCAGTACCAGGTAGGCTTCATAAGTGGAAGAATTTTTGTTTTTTATTTCTTGCTGAACCCCCAGCGCCTAGAACAGGTCCTGCACACGGGAGGTGCTCAGTGAATGTTTGTTGAAGGGGTACATGAACTTTGCACTTGAGGATCTCGAAAGGGTCCACACGCCCGAAAGCTGGAAGGCTCAAGGGGGACGGACGGGCGCATCAAGTTACATTACTACCCTCAGGAACGTTGCTCCGGCCCCCAAAGTAGGCTCAAGTCAGCCGCTCGGGGGGCGGATGAGACAAGACCACGTTCGTGGCAGCGCCGAAATCAGAGGCGACCTGGTCACTGCAGGGCCCCTGCGATCTCTCGCGCGGGGAGGGAAAGCGAAGGGGGCGCGGGACAAAGCAGCAGCTACACCCGGGCACTCTGCCAGCGGGGCAACCGCAGGGCCTGGCGTCCTTGACAGGATTGCGAAAAGGGTCGGCGCGAGGTTTGGAGGCGAAAGAGCAAAGGAACCCCCCTGGGGTCGGATCCGACGTCCCAACCCTACTCACCTTCACCGACCCCGGCGGCCCACAGTCCACAGTAGCAAGGAACGGAAGTTGGTCACCGGAAGATCGTCCTTCAGCCAATCCCAAGCCCAAAAGGGAGGGCCTTGCTTTACCGATCAGCCAGTAGGGGTGAAAGCTCGTTCCGGAAGTCCCGCCCACAAGGGCGGGCACAGCGCCTCCACCGTGCGGGTCCCCGGGTGCTGGTTGGGGCGCTCCCGTCCCTCTCCCCGGCCCCACCCCCGCCGATGGGCCGGCCCGGCTCTCCCTGCCGAGAGATGGGCCGGCCCGGCGGCGCGCGGGCAGTGGCGGCGGCGGCGGCCCAAGATGGCGGAGCTGCAGCTGGACCCGGCGATGGCCGGGCTGGGAGGGGGTGGAGGGAGTGGGCTGAGCGACGGGGCCGGCCCGGGCCGCGGACCTCCCAGTCCTCGCCCCCCTGGCCCCACGTCCCGCGGACACAGCCGCCCGCCTGCCGCCGCGCAGCCGCTCGAGCCGGGTCCCGGACCGCCCGAACGGGCAGGGGGCGCCGGCGCGGCCCGCTGGGTCCGGCTGAACGTGGGCGGCACCTACTTCGTGACCACCAGACAGACCCTAGGCCGGGAGCCCAAGTCTTTCCTCTGCCGTCTCTGCTGCCAGGAAGACCCGGAGCTGGACTCAGACAAGGTGCGCCCCGCCCTCGGGCGCGCCCCCGGCCTTCGGACCCCCTCGTTCCTCCGAGGCTCGTCCCCAGATTCCTGTGACACGCTCCTCGCGGGCGGGCGCCTCGGGCCTGGACCCCCTCCTCTGCCCTTCCCCCAACAGGCTAACCCCGGCAGCTATTCTCGCCCATTCTCAGGCGCACCCAGGGTTTCTCTGACCCCACCCTTCGTTTCGGCCTCAGCGACTCGTTCCCCACGCTGCCCACCCGCACCCATGAGAACCCACTCCACACCCCTTCTCCGTATTCCTCTACACCTCATCCCAGCCTCTCAGATCTGCGTGAGTTTTTCCCTGGCTCTTCGTCAGCCCCTCACTGCCTGTGCCAGATACATCCAGAACTGGGTCAGGGTGAGCCAAGGCATCTTTGTAGCTTTCTCAGACTTTCTCTCGGACCCTGTGCCAAGTTGGGTGAAAGCCTGGGTTAGAGGATGGCTTCGACAGCTGCAGGAAATGCTTCTCGTGATATCACACTTCTTTCCTGTGGTCATGGTCCCTGCGCTCGCATCTGGTAACAGTCACTGTTTTAGGTCCATATTTGAGATCAGATACATTCCTTGGAAAGAGATGACCATTTCCAGCGCAAACCTAAGCCCACTGGTTAAGACGCAGGGGAAATGAAGACAAGAATGCTGTTGGGCAAGATGCATGGCTGCTCACCAAAAGGTTGAGAGGACCCAAGATACCGAACCTATTTCTAGTTTGATTTTTTTTTTTTTAAACTTTACACGTTCATCTTTTAGTTCCCAACATACAGGGATTGACCATTGCTTGCACCACCTTATTTCCTATATAGGATTCAGCCTGTTACCTTGAAACAGACTTGGAGTTGGGTAAACATTGGTTGATTCTGTGTATTCATCTCTTACCTCTCCTCTAATAAATCTCAGATTAATGGAAACCTGCCCGACCCGAACTTTCAGTAGATTCCAAAACCCTTGCTTATAAAGGAATTGTTTTCATCTACCCTACGTCTTCCTTATTGCAGTAGAGGCCAGTTTATTCTTGTTCCTTTTACTGTAAAGATGAGCAGGATTAAAACTGCTCAGAGCCAAGTCCTGGCAATGCCAAGCTTCCTCTGGGCACAGAGCTGGGGTGTGTGAGGTAGAGCTGGCAGTGCATACTTCCACTGATGTTGGCCTTGAGCTCAGGAGCTTCGCCAACTAAACAGGTTTTCTTAGAATTAGGAATGTGATTCAGGGCAACAGAGAATAAAGAATGTCCATCCCAAGCAAAGATTTAACCACAACTATGGTATTTGCTTCCTCCCTTTCTTTATAACAAATAGTCTACAGAAAAACTGGTAACTGTATCCAAGTAAATATTTTAGAAGTTCAGGTAAACGCCTAGATAATGTGACTATACAACCGGAACACCCCACCTTAAATGATCTTAAAGTATGAGATATGTAAAACCAGCCTTCTTGCCAGTAGTTTGCGATAAGCATACGTCTAGTGAAACTTGCCCTCTTACTAATGAATTGTGACAGAGGTTGAAACCCTGTCCTGACTTGGTCTGAAAGCTCCACAGTGATACCCTTGTGTTTGGTCAGCAGGACGAGACAGGGGCCTATCTGATTGACAGGGACCCCACCTACTTTGGTCCTATCCTAAACTACCTCCGCCATGGGAAACTCATCATTACGAAGGAGTTGGCAGAAGAAGGTAAGAACAGTGTTTGAGCCAGACATTTTCAAATTCAGATCTAATCTGTTTCATAGCTTTGACTTTTGTTTGAGACTCTCATTGAGCCCACGTGCAGGTTTAGTAAAGGTTTATGAAAGTGAGCAGGGAGTCTCCAGTTACCTAGTGGTGTCTGAGGGAGTCTTGTTTAAGGGAGCCTCATCTGGCTCTGTTCATCCTCCTAATGAGAAGGACAAGAGGTAGCTTGGTTTTGCCGATAGCTTCGAGAGTTTTTTCCGAGCCTGCAGAATTGGCAGGATCCCTTTTTACATTTGCTTATGTGCTAGCAGTGAATGTCATAACCAGAAGCAACGAATCTCTGATAGTTATATTTTCGATTTTAGTTTTAATTTGCTGCTGTAAGAAATAATAAAGGCTTGGCCTCATTTCTCTTAAGACTGGTCTCATGCCTCCTTGTCAGTTTTTGCAGCTGACCTAATTCATTCTCCCATCCGCTGTCAGGTTCATCATCAGTGGCCTCATCTTTTTGGTTTTTAGGGCATTTAGACTGCAAGTGGGTCTTGATATCTTTCTAAAAGGCTTGGTTGGATTGGTCTCATGGAAGGCACTCGTTTGAAATTTGGGGCCTTTCCTTAAATCCAGGGCAACCTGATCAGGGAGTGTTAGCTCTGAGTAAGAGAGCTATAATGGCTGTGCTAGTTAATTAAGCTGCTGCAAAACACCACTGTTTCAACCAGTAAAAAGAGGACTTGCTTTCTCTTTTTCTAAATGCCCTCTTTAAAAATAAGAAAAAAGAAAGAAAGAAAAGCATTTCAAATGCATACACAAGTAATGGGCATAGTGCAGTAAATTCTATGCACCCACCATCCAGCTTCAACAATTGCCAACTCATGCATAATCTTGCTTCTTGAAAAGAGGAATCTTAAGCATCTTTTCTAATGCTTATTTAAGAACTTTTATTTTGAAATTATTTCAGACTTAGAGAAAAGAGCACGAATAGTACAAAGAATTCCCTTTACCCAGATTCACCAATTTTTAACATTTCTGTCATGTTTTTAATAATTTTGTCATGTTTTTAATAATTCATTCATTCTCTCTCTCCTTCTCCTGCCTCTCCTTCCTCTACCCCTTCCACAGTTTTATTTTTGAACTATTTGAGAATAGATTCCAGACTTCACCCCTTAATACTTCAACATATATTTCCCAAGAACAAGTGTATTCTCTTACATAACCATAGTATAGTTATCAAATTGAGGAAATTTAATATTGATAAATACTTAATAGTTTATTTTCCAGTTATAGCAACTGTTCCAATAATGGCCTTTATGGTTAATATTTTTCCTGGTACAAGATCACACATCCCACGTAGTTGTCCTGAGGCCTTTGATTTTATGTAGCATGAGATTCTTCCCACTATTGCCTTTTATATTGTTCAAATAATAAGCATTCTGCCTGGCCAGTGTGGCTCAGTGGTTGAGCGTCGACCCATGCACCAAGAGGTACCCAGTTTGATTCGCAGTCAGGGCACATGCCCAGGTTTCAGGCCAATCCTCGGTGGGGGCGTGTAAGAGGTAGCCAATTGTTGTTTCTATTTCCCTTTCCCTTCCTCTCTAAAATCAATAAAGAAAAATATTTTAAAAAATAAATAAATAAGCATTCTGTTAAATTTGGTCCAAGAATATACTTATATGTACAGCCCACCCCTTGTCAACTGTGGGACAGACGGCAAGCTCTGGTCAAAATTGCAAGCTCAGGCAGCTAGTGGGCAGGTACAGGGAGAGTCAGGGAAGGTACCATGTGGGAAGCTAAGGGGGACACGGAGTGAATAGGGCAGACCCTTCTGCTTGACTCGCTTCTGTTCAGGAAAAGGTAATGATTACACCCTAAACAGCAAAGAAGCGTGTCCCAGGCTGAGGAGAGAGTAGACGATTTGAAAACTGCCATTCACCCTGGCCAGTGTGCTCAGAGCATCGTCTCGGGTTCTATTCTCAGTCAGGGCATGTATGGGAAGCAACAAATCAATGTTTCTCACTCCCTCACCCTTCCTCTTTCTCTCTAAATCAATAAAAATGTATTCTTGGGTAAGGATTCTTTAAAAATTAAGAATAAAAAGAAAAATGCGGTTCTTGGCAAGCATGTGAACCCCAGGCTCCCTTGCTGTTCTCTGGAGCATCCACACGCCTCTGCTTCCTTGTTCCAGGTGTGCTGGAAGAGGCAGAGTTCTACAACATCGCATCTCTCGTGCGGCTGGTTAAGGAAAGGATACGGGACAACGAGAACCGAACTTCACAAGTAAAGGGTTTTGAACTTTTTTTTTTTAATCCTTGCCCGAGGACATTTTCTATTTTTTGTTCAGATAGAGTGGGAGGGAGGGAGGGAGGGAGAGAGAGAGAGAAACATCGATGTGGAAGGGACACATCGAGTGGCTGCCACCCACACGACCCAACCAGGGCCAGGGACAAACTGCAACCAAGGTACGTGCCCTTAGTGGTAACCGAACCCGGGTCTCTCTGGACCGCAGGCCGATGCTCTAACCGCTGAGCCAAATCGGCCAGGGCTGGGGTTTTGGGGTTTTGAACTTTTAAGGGGAAACTCTCAAGTGGCTGTGTGTCTTGTGTCTGGGTGTGATTAGGAAAAGATGATTAGCCCATGGAGCCCAAGGTCTGTGTGGAAAACTGTCCATCTGCCAGGCAGGCAGCATATACTCCACCAGACTTGTTCAGAACAAAAAAAATCGACAAGAAGAAATAACAAAGAAAACAAAACAGCCTCGTGTCCCTTTTAGAAGAGTGGGGAGGTTGTGGCTATTCACCATATGGCAGTGGGAGGTTCCAAACCTGTTCTCTTGGATAGAGCATCTGTCTCCCTCCACGTAGAGAGCAGGCGGTCTTGCTTGCACCTGCTGGTCCTTTATTAGGACCAGCCTTCAGTGTGTGACCACATCACATCTGGCTCCTGCCAGCCACTTGAAACCAGTCTCATGGTTTAGACTTTAGAAGCTGCTTGTGAATTGTGTTTATGAGAAAATAATATCAAGCATCCGGTTTTATTATGAAGCTTAGACTTGGGTATTAACTCAGTAGATATAGTAACAAAATTAAACACACAATTTGCCACCTAGTTTGGGACGGGAAGACGCTACCTAGCTTATTTCGTATCACGTCACCCAGCCATCATGTGTCTTAAGTGGCCACAATAGCTTCTACTAGGCCCTTAGGATTCTGTGACGACTAGGAGCAGGAGAAGCAGGCATGTAGTTAGGCTCTATTTTAAGTTCTGCTACAGTAACAGGACAGGGTCAGACTTCACTGTGCCAGTCTGTCCTGTAGCACGACGTGCCTCTTACCCCATCAGATTCGGGTGGTGGAGGCTTTCTTGAGATCTAATCGTTTGCAATGTAGTTTTCCTGTGATTAAAAAGAAGGCAGTACATTTCTTTTCCGCAGTAAAACAGTTCCTTGTTCTTTCTGTGTTAGACTTCACATATCAAAGTTTCCTGGTGCTGAATGGATTATCTGGTGAAATAACTGACACCTGTGAGAAAAAAAATGAACTCTCTTGTCTCTATCTCCCGCAGTTGGCAAAGGTGGAAAGAAGGGCTTATTCATTTGCTTCTCTTCCATCTGGCCGAGGGCTGAAAGGTTCCTTTCGTGTTCGAAGATGAATCTCTAGTTGGTTTGCAGATTACCAATGAAATAGGATCTAGTGTACCCAGTTTTTGCCACTTCATATTGACACAGCATCTTTCCCTATTGTAGAGATTTAAAAGCTTAGACATTTTGAAAATCTAGCCATATCCTCAGTTTTCCATACTTAAAAAAAAAAAAAAGCTTTTGATTGCTTGGTATAAATTTTGATGGTAGTATGAATTATATATTTTGAATTCATTCAAATCATAGCACCTGAAAACTCTAGTTATTTGTTTTTAGTTAATTCCTTGAGAGCATTGTGAGATTTCTGTTTGAGGACAGCCCTTAATTAGTTCTAGATTCTGAAGGCTTGGCTATCTATACCCAGTTGGAAGCTTTTTTATTCTAGGAATGTCAGGATCCTTTTGCTGTAATTGATCTTTCCCGGTGTGAAAGTCGAAGCAGTGATTTGATTGTTGCACGTGGCTCTCAGGTGAAGTGGCTGTGTGTGGATTTCCATGGCTCACCCTTCAAGTAGGCCATCTCCTTTCACTTTGTGTTTAAAGGAGACCCACATGGCAGCTATTCAGGTGAAGCCCAAGGTGTGGGGACCTACCCCTTTTTAGTGAACTCTCTGTTAGTGCTACCACCATTCGACTACTTTGATGTCTCTCTCTGGTCATTTCTTTGCTAGGTGATTAATCTTGGTGTATTTGAGAATGCTAGTGGTTTACTTTGGAAGAGAAAAATAAAGGAGGCAATACAGACGTCTTAAATACCTGGCACTTGGACAGTTGTGGTCAGTGTCATAGCTCTTCTGTGATGCTCTGGGTTTTGTGATAGAGAACACCTGGTTGTTTTAAAGTGTGAAGTTAGAGCCGTGAGTAGATTGAAATTTTTTGAAGGCTTGTCCTATATTTTATTTGGAAGAAAAAAACATTTTAAATCTTAGTACATTGGTTAATGATAGCTACACTTCACTTAGAAGGAGAAAGCACAGAAGAAAGAATACGGTGGAGTCAGGAGACCTGAGTTCAAGTCTTAGCTCTCCCTCCAATCCACATCTGGAGCAAAATACTGCACTCTGACACCAGTGTCCTGCGTGTGGCAGGGAGCCAAGACCTGCCTTCCGTGACTGCCGGGAAGACAGGAGGAGAAGGGAGGAACACTTGGGGCTTGGAGAACCCTGGAATCAGTAGCTGCTTTTGTGTATACAGTATTTCCCAATAGTGAGTTGTCCCAAGACTCATTTTTCAGCCAAGTGGAAGCCCACAGATCCTTTTGAAAAAGTACTAAATAAGTTTTCATGATTCTTAAGGAAATAGTCCACATTATCTTTAAATCGTGATTGAACATAACTGATCCCTCTCCCCATGACTGAGCATCATTGTTATGAGCCTCGGTTGCTGTTTGTGCGCCAGCAAATGCCCCGTGCCCTCCAGGATGGGCAATGAGTGTGCAGCTATTGGACCCAACCCTGAATGGTCCCAGACTGCTAAACAGTGCTCCTATGTGGCTGTAATTGTCCTGTGAACAGGGACTTTATCTGGGGAGCACACCTCCCTGCAGCAACCCTGCCTCCACCAACTGGCTTCTAATCCCTCCCCACTCCCCCAAGTTATACGTGTGAAGGTTCTGTGGTTGAGGGTAGGGGCCTTAGTGCTGCAGCTGCGGGGCAGCCACGCAGCCTTGGGCTTCTGGTTCTAACGTATGTTCCAGAGAGAAGGGTCTAGCTAACAGATGCCTTCTCTCTGGCTTTCTGAACTCTGGGCATCCAAGAGTTCAGTCCTGTCTTGACACTAGCTACCTGGTGCCGTAGGAACTATTTCCACAGGTGTCCGGGCTCAGTCTCACAAAACTGCCCTCACTTCAGGCGACGGTCGCAAGTGCCGCCTTCCCAGGCTAACCGCACTTCTAAGTTGGCTGCAAATTCAAGGGTTCCCACGATGCCCCCCTTCAGGTTTGGTAATTTGCTAGGACGACTCGTAGAACTCAGGAAGAACCTATACTTACTATTGTAGTTTATTAGAAGGATACGGGTGAACAACCAGGTGGAGAGACATAGGGCCAAGTCCTGAGGTCCAGCCAGGAGCCGGTCCTCCAGCAGCCGTGGTGCGCCGCCCGCCAGCACATGGCGTGTTTGCCAGCTCCTGAGCCCCTGGGCTCCATGTTTAAAGGTGTTTAGGGAAGTTTTGTTACATAGGCATGATTGATTAAATCATTAGTTATTGTTATTGAAAGCCATCTCCAGCCCGTCACCCCCTCCAGGTTAGGAGGTTTGGTCTCTTGGTAGTCCTTAGCATTACAAAGACACTATCACTGAGGAGATTCCAAGGGTTTTAGAAAGTCTGTGCCAGGAACCAGGGCCAAACACCAAGTGCTGATTTTTGTTATTCCCAAGTCTGTAGCAGGGACGTTACCATTTACACTGCGATACTTCTGGTAGTGTGGGCAGAGGGTAAAGGTAGCTGGAGCGTGTAAGAGGGATTCCTGTTCATGTTATTCCCATAACAGGGTGTCACGCTCAGTAAACAAAATAGAATCTACATTTGCACATGTATGTCAGACATGGACAACTTAGAAGAAAGTGTGGCTTTCTTGTCCAAAGTAATTTTACTCTATTTTCTGTTTAGGAAAGTAGACAAAATCTACGCATGTAATTCATTCCTCTGCGCTTTTCCCCACTGACTCGTGTCTCTGGGCCCTTCCTTCCTTTGGATTCCACTGAAAGCTGCAGTGCTGCTTGTAGAAGGGGGTGGGGGTGGCTGCCAAGAAAACAGTTCCAAGCAAACTCCTTTTCAGTGTTTATTGGTTTAGCCTCAGCAAGGCTGCTGCGAACTGTAGTGTCCTTGAACCTGTTCTTCAAAGTCTGTCTGTGGTTGTCACAGGGCCCCGTGAAGCACGTGTACAGAGTCCTGCAGTGCCAAGAAGAGGAGCTGACGCAGATGGTCTCCACTATGTCCGACGGCTGGAAATTCGAACAGGCACGTTTCTTACGTATAGCAGCCCAGTGTCTCCGCCTGGAAACCCACACTCTTCAGACATTGCCCTCCGTAGCCAGTTAATGACCCTGGAGGTCCGCGGGCCCCGGGCGCTCCTGTTCAGAAGCGCGGGAGAAGAGCCACTCGGTGTGGCTTGTTTGCTCAGCAGTACATAATGAGTAGGGAGAACTAAGAATAGTATCTTTTCTGTCAGCTGCATCGCCAGAGTTTCAACCTGATTGTGCCGGGAGGGAGCCGGCCAGCTTGTTTGGACTTGAAATGCCTCTCTGTTTTTTTAATAGTTTATTGATTTTTAGAGACAGGAAGGGAGAAGAGCGATGTGAAAGCGAACATCAATCAGCTGTCTCCCACATGCCCCTCACTGGGGACTGAGCCACACCAGCCAGGGTGCTCTCTCTTTTATTTTTCTCCCCAGGAGGGATGTTTGTCAGAAGTGCTTGTTGATACATTCTAGAATGATTACCTAAAGAAGACTGGGATTCACCAATAACTCTTCCTTTCCTTGCCCCAGGGTGAGACCTTTGTCCTCCTGAATGCAGTATGATCTGCAGAGAAAGTATGATGAGCAGGGGTGATAAGAAAAACATCAAACAATGGTTATCTCCCATTAGGCTGTTCTTTAGCTTAGTGCTTCTGTCCAAGTTATCAAGACAAAGCCTGAGAGAGGCGGAATTTTACTGATCTTGTCCATTAGATGGCAGAATTGTTCAGTTCACCTGTTTTCAAAACACAAGAGTTCTGAGCATGAATTGAAGGACCATTTTGTAATTTTATGTGGATCCTGCCTGTTTCTATGTCGAGCTGAAGAGGTCAGTTGAATTGTCACCATATACTTACCCTCTCAGAAGCTCCTTTTTGTGTCTGTCCTCAGAACCGATACTGAATTATTTCTCACGCTACCTCCCACTGCAGAATCAGTTCTGCCTGTGTCCTAGACCTTGTTGGGTGTGGGTTGCAAAATGTTGCCATACTTCCACTCCAGTAGTAGTTTCCCTGATTAAAGTCTTAAGCAAAGGATATTATAAAAACTTTTTTAAAGTATTCTTTGTGAAACCAGTGAATGTTTTTTATCTTGTTTTTCTCATCTTATAAATGGCCTGCAGGAAGACAGGTATGCCCCAGTGACTCCATTAGATGGATGAGGAAGCTAAGGTACAAAGGGGCTGCGGCGTCTGCACCCAGCCGTGCAGCAAGTCAGCCATGGTCCCCTGGCTTGAGGCCCCGAAGGCTCTCCAGGAGGACCGCACCCTTGGGCTCAGCTTCCTTCTGTGTGTGTGTTTCCTACTTAGAATTAAAGCCCAAATTCAGTTCTCCAAAAAGGCTAAAACTACCGGTGGCATATGGCTTATGGTAGCTCTTCAGTGATTGGCCTGGTGCTTTCCAGAGCCTTCCGGGTGCCAGTCTCCTGTCTAGCACTCTGCTTACAGCTTCTTTTTTTTTTAATTCTCACTCGAGGATACTTTTTCCATTTTTTGTTCAGATAGAGTGGGAAGGAGGGAGAGGAAGAAAGAGAGAGAAACAACAACGTGAAAGGGACACATCGAGTGGCTGCCACCTGCACGACCCAACCAGGGCCGGGGACAAACTGCAACCGAGGCACGAGCCCTTAGCGGGAACCGAACCCGGGTCTCTCTGGACCATAGGCCCACGCTTTAACCACTGAGCCAAACCGGCCAGGGCTGCTTACAGCTTTGTGTAGGTGCTTTGGCTGAAGCAAGTGTCCATGTTTATTCAGAGAAACATGCTTTTCCACTCCATGTTTGCTAGAAGGAATGTGATGGTGTTGATCCTAGCTGCTGCCTTTGGGGTGTGCCAGCTGCTCAGTGAGGGGACAGTGGCAGAACTCCTGCTTTTTTCCTTTGGGGAAGCTTCGCTGATGACACCCTGAGGAGTAACCAAGATCCAGTGGCTGGGGCCTTGACAGTTCCAAAGAATTCTTCATCCACTGAGAAACAAAACGACAAAGTTCCATCGGGGGAGGTTTTGGATTACGTGGCACTTCGTATTTTAAGGTCACTGTGTGTTCACCATGTTCTTGTTTTATCAGCTAATCAGCATCGGGTCTTCCTATAACTATGGAAATGAGGACCAGGCAGAATTCCTCTGTGTTGTCTCCAGAGAACTGAATAATTCTACCAATGGCATCGTCATAGAGCCGAGTGAAAAGGCAAAGGTAAGAGGTTGCTGCAGGCCGTGCCCGATTTCTTCCCAGCTTGGCAGTGCCCCTTCAGTTGGGTATTTTGAGTGTTGTAATTTATTTTTTATCTTACTTTATTTTTTTATAATATATTTTTATTGATTTTTAGAGAGGAAGGGAAAGGGAGAAAGAGAGAGAAAACCAATCAGCTGCCTCCTGCACACCCCCTGCTGGGGATCGAGCCTGCAACCTGGGCATGTGTCCTGACGGGGAATCAAATTGGGACCTCTCGGCCCATGGGCCAACGCTCAGTCCACTGAGCACACAGGCCAGGCTGACTGTTGTAGTTTAAGTCAAGATTTATGGCGCAGTGAGAGGGGTTTTAGTTAGGAAACATGATCTGAAGTAGGGCCGACTTTTCTAAGTCTCTGTCAAATCAGAGAAAAAGAAAAGTTTTATTATCAGTAATTACTCCAACATCAAAATTCTAAAAGTCAAAACTGGAAAGTATTTTGCCTTTTTTACTTGCAATTCAAACATGTGCACACACTTGTACATCACCGACATGTGGTGTCTGGACCATCTCCTGAGCACAGGAGAAATGGTTCCATAGCCCGGCTGACCGGACCCCGTGTTTTCCAACCCGAGTGCTTTCGGGAGGGCGGGGCTCCAGTCCTGCCCTGCACCCTGGGTAACAGGGATTGTTGTGTGCTCCCCAGGGGCTAGTGGAGAGCGGTGGGCTCCATTGCCCTCAACAATCAGCTTAGCAGCTCAGTAAACACAGTCTGCATAGTCCAAGCCTCAGCCCCCTCCCCCATCTTCCCCTTCCAGATTCTTCAGGAGAGAGGATCTCGGATGTAAACTCCAGAATCCTAAGCATCAAGAGAGCAGCCCACCAGAGCGCCGCTGTGAAGTTAAACCTTGCTCCTGTACAGTAACTGAGCTACTGCAAAGCAACGCTGAGCCTGGCCCCTCATGGAGAATGTTCCGGTCAAACCAGAGGAACCCCCACCCCACCCACAGGAACCTGAAAACAGATGCGACTTCGGGCTGCGAACGCCTTTCGGAAACCTGCTTTGTGTTCTTAGCCAGTGTTCTAGCATCTCTACAACCCGCGTCGGCCGGTCCAGCTGGGGCGCTCCTGGGGAGCCGGGGAGGGGGAGGAGGGCCTGCTCCTGGGCCGCGCCTGTGCTTCCAGGAAGCAGGAGCCAGTGAGGATTGTCTGGCTGGCCGGTTTCCCAGGTGCCAGGGTGGGCGCTGCAGCCAGCCGCTCTGGAACCCGCCTTTCCCTTCCTGCTGCACCCCGTACTAATACAGCAGATGCGAAGGGTCCCAGCTCCACTTGCCCCCCTGAATTGAGGTTTTTGATAAAGGGTAGAGTTGCTAGAGTACCCTACATTCCTATGAACTAAGCCTCTTTGAGGAAAGGGAGGATAGGGTGTCCTTGCTTGTGGTCGGAGGGTGGGGATCGCTGCCCAGTGTTTGGGGCGTTCCGCTGCTGTTGCAGTCAGCTTTGCCCCATTGTCTCCAGTAACCTGGACCCTCTGGGTGGCTCGCTTTCTTCCTGGAGGAGGTTTGAGGCAGGCGGCATCTGCACTGGATTAGATGGCAGCTTTAGGTGGTAGGCACAACTGCTTCTGTTTTCTTACCCTCCATTGGACCAGCTTCCTTTCTTAACTTTTTAAACTGGATTAAAGGGACTTTGGACCCTATGATGGCTTAGGGTGGGGACAGCTGTTTCTTTGAGAGTTGCCAAATGCGTTATGTTGTAGTGTCCAAAAGTGTTATTTCTGTGCTTGTCTCTTGGAAATGCTTTGACTGGACATGTGATATTTGTTTGAGTCTCTTGGTTTCTAACTCTGGCGGTCCTGTCCCACACCTGTAGTGACCCACACCTTCCTCACTAGTGTGGATGCGTTTGCTGGGGAGTCCGAGGACTCCCCTCACCTCTGACCCCCCCCCCCATCACTTCTTTCTATGGAGTGCCACGTCCTCAAGGATCAAACACTTGTTTGGCCTGGGGGAGCGGAGCTGTGACACAGCTTGTACCTGGGCCTTCCCCCTGAGCCTCAGAGTCCGGGAGAGCAGCTGTCGGCTGCAGGGGAGATCCCTTGTTCTTTCCCTCGGGGACGTTCACGGTGGGAAGGTGGTGCCTCGGGAACGTGCCATCTGCACGAGCCACCTCAAGCCTGTGGCTCCCGGTTCCTCCAAAGCCGAGCTCTCCGCTCGGCAGCTCAGCTGCTTGCTAGATGGGCCTGGGGCCGTAGCTTTTGGAACTGAATTGGACTGTGCCAAATGTCTTTTGAGCTTGTGACCTGCACATGCCCAGGATTCTCACTTTGACCCTATTTCTGTGTGTAAAGTAGGATGGAAGTGTGTCTGCTGAAACGCCGTCTGCCCACCTGCTGAGCGGGCCTGTTGGCACCTCAGGAGTCTGCTCGTGCCCCGGGTTTCTACAGCTGTAGATGTTAGAGGAACTTCTGCCTACCATAAAAGCAGTCACCTTTTCAAAAAGTTGTAGGCATCCATCCTGCCATCTTTCAGGGGGAAAAGATTTGCGTGTGTCAGGCTGCTCCGACCAGGACAGAGGACTGGAGGAGGTGCTGTTTGGCCACGTGGACTAAGGAACAGCAGACGGCAAGGAGGAGGAGGAGCCCATCAGACCTGCTCTCCTGGGGCCCGCCTGACCTTGAGCTGCTGCCCAGCCAGCAGGGCGGAGGGCGGAGGGGTGTGGGCGAGCCCCCCAGCAGTGCGCTGTTACCTTTATTTCCCTTTCAGGGCTCCACAGTGGGTCCTGTGAAAACGGTAACTGCTCTGAGAGGCATTCTTTTTTTTATCCTCACCCAGGGACATTTTTCCATTTTTGTTCAGTGGGAGGGAGAGAAAGAGAGAGAAACATCGATGTGAAGGGACACATCGAGTGGCTGCCACCCACACGACCCAACCCGGGCTGGGGATAAACTGCAACCGAGGTACATGCCCTTAGCAGGAACCGAACCCAGGTCTCTGGACCGCAGGCCGATGCTCTAACCGCTGAGCCAAACCGGCCAGGGCCTGAGAGGCATTCTTAGTGAGGTGAGTTATCTCCTAGAGGGCCAGCTCTCACCAGGTTTCCCTCCTGGCGACCCAGTGACAATTTCGGTGGTTCCAATGCTCCAGATGTCTCGGGATGATTTGTTGAAGGTTTCTGGAAAGGTATTTTACCTAAACCCTTTATGAACCAACTGGGCGTTTTTCTTAAAGCCTTGACGCCCCCCACCCCCCCGTGGAGTCTGGCTAATAACTTCAGGGAGAGGTCTGGCCATTGGCTGGGGGATGTCACATGACCAGTGACCCATCTTCTCCAGCTGCCCAGTGCTGCCAAGTGGGGAGTGTCTTCCTGCTTCATTCTCTGCCCAGGTTCAAGGCCGCGGCCCGGCGCAGGGAGCAGCCCGGCACCTCCTGGGGGCAGCACAGCAGCATGCTCTGTCCTGTCCGCAGAACCTGCTCTTTACCCTTGACGGTGAGGCGGGGCCCAGACCCTCTGGAGTGACTTTGTTCCTGCAGTTGTAACTGACCTCGGGGGTGCGGGGAGGAAGGAACGGAGCTACTGAGGGAGCAGGGCCGAGAGAACACCCACACCCTGGGCATGGCCTTCGGTCCAGATAGGGACCATGCCTGTCACGTGTGGGTGCCCTTTGTAACTGTGTTTGAAGAATCTGAAATGTTGTGACCTTTTTTTTTGGTCAATAAAGACACAAAACAAACTTGGGAACCTTGAGACCTTGGTGTATGTTTCCAGCCAGGCTGGCTCCTCGGTCCCGCTGTCACCGTGCGTGCCCCTCCGGGCGCTCTGAGATGACGCTCACCTTTCCTAGCAGGGCTCCCACAGTCCTGGAGTCCTGCTGCTGCAGCTGCCTGAGCGGGTGCCCCCCCCCCCTTCCATTGTACTGAATCTGCAAGGGCCCAGAGAGGGCTGAGAAACAAGGTGGGCAGACGGGCTGCCCAGGGAGCTGGAGGGAGCCGAGGGGAGGAGCATGCGATGGTTTTGAGGGGAGAGCAGGCTTCCTGGAGAATAAGTGGCTGTTGCCCATTTTCTCTGTGAGGTAGAGAGATGGTGGGTAAGGAATGTGAGGTGAAAATCCAGGACCCAAGCGAAGGGCTAAGCCACTTAAGACACCAGGCAGGGTTGTGGGGTCCTCAAAAAACAGTACCCCCCATAGGGACACGACTACACAAAGGCTGGGAACAAGGTACAAGGTTGTATCAGCCAGGGTCCAACGCAGTGGAGACCACAGCAGTTAACAGGTTGTGGGGAAAGGAAAGGGCCTGGGGACACAGGTGTCACAGGTGGAGTGATTTCAAGATGCAGTTGCCCCTAGGATCCGGGGTTAGGATAATTAAAATGAGGCTCGGAGGAGGGGCCCTGTGCGGGAGCTCAGTAAGGCTGGGTCTAGCGCTGGAGAAAATGGGAAGAGCACCCTGCGAGAAGCAGCTCCTGCTGCCCGAGAGGAGCTGCCTCGCTGTGGCTGCTCGGAGCGGCGTCCTGTACACCGAGGGCTTCGCGCAGAAACACAAGGTCTTTGTATAGAAACTTGACACAGACTGCATAAAAAGAAAATTACAGATTAATCCCATTCCTGAACATAAATGCAAAAGTCCTAAGACTAGATTAGCAAATTGAATCCAGGAAATATAAAAAGCGTAACGTCATGACCAAGTAGAGTACTACAGAATGCAAGGTTGGCTTAATAATTGAAAATTAATAAGTGTAAATTCTCCACATTTGCAGAAGAGCCAAAACTTATGATCATCTCAAAAGATGCAGAAGAATTAGATAAAAGTCAACATCTATTCCAGATTTAAAAACAAAAAAACTGCAAACCAGAAAGAAAAGGGAGTCTGCATAATCTGATGTGAAATATCTACAAAAGAAAAAAAATCTGCCCAGCTGGTGTGACTCAGTGGATTGAACACTGTCCCATGGACTGAGTTCTAGGTTCGATTTCCAGTCAGGGCACATGCCTGAATTGCGGGTTCGATCCCTAGTAGGGGACGTGCAGAAGGCAGCCAATCAATGTTTTTCTCTCACATTGATGTTTCTATCTCACGCTCTCTAAAAATATATATATATATGTATATATGTGTGTGTATGTGTATATATATATGTTTATGCATGTGTGTGTGTATAACCTATAGTAAATGTTATACTTAATAGAGAAATGTTGGAAACATTTCCACTGAGATGAATTGAGAAAAGGATGCCTTCTTTTTACCATTTCTATCCTAGCTAACTTTGGGAGGAAGAAAGTGATATACTGCAGACTGTTCAGGGCTTTTGCCCTGCCGGATGGGAAGTATGGGAAACAGAAGGGCTGGCAAGGAGCCCTGGAGTGATGAGTCTCTTCAGTTTTACTCATCCTTTTTTCTTCGGAGGGTCAGAACCAGAGTGGGAAGTAACAGCCTTTAGGATCATCAATCAGATAATGTTTGGATCATTCAACTTCAGACCAAGAGGGTGTCTTGAAACACCTCTTACCACAACCCTGTTGATTCATAAGAAAAGAACCATGATTCAGAGATTCAACAAATTACCCAAGATTCTACTGCTACTGAGTTGTCATTTTCCCTCTCTGGTTGGTAATGTGAGTCCCTTAAGTCCACTGCAAGTGGCCCCAGGTGCAATAGTGACTCTGCCTCCCGGAGTGAAGAGGAATAGCCCGTGGGCAGGCAGAATGCATCACACTGCAGGAGGTCCAGCAGCACACCTTCTGCCCTGCTGACATCACGAGCAAGATGCTGGGCCCAGCCAGTGTGGCTCAGTGGATCGGGCGTTGTCCCATGGACTGGGGTCCCGGTTCAATTCCTGGTCAGGGCAGATGTCCAGGTTGCAGGCTCTAACCCCAGTGTGGGGTGTGCTGGAGGTGACCGATCCATGTTTCTCTCTCACATAGATGTTTCTATCTCTCCCTTTCTCTCTGAAAAATCAGAAAGAAAAAAAAAAAAAGATACTGGGGCTGGTCGCACTTGAATTGTGACATCAGGAAGCAAAACTCCGGGCAGTCTTCCATAGAGAGACTGCAAAACAGCCAAAGAGAAAGGTGAGGAGGTGATCAGCAGACTCAGAGAAATTAAAGGGTTGGGTGGGGACCCACTGGACTGATGAGGGCCCTGCACCTGGGTGCCCAAGGGGTCTTTTCCCTTCCGACATAGGGCAGCCAAGCCTCTGGCTTTCCCTGCCATGCAGAGAAGTAAGTACCTGTGCTTCCTACCTTCCTCCTGATGGGCCAAGGGAGTGGTCCCTTTCCCTTGTCATGTGACTGCTTTCTGCCATCCACATCTCCAGGATTTGTTCCAGGAATTAGGGCTGGCACAAGGAGAACACAGTCCCCAACTTATGCCCCCCATGTGGGTTGACAGATGACACAGTCCCTGTACCCCGTGGGCAGACAGCTGCTTTCTAAGAGAAGGATGTTGTACCCCTCTAACGCCCCTCAGCCCCTGCCCAGCTTCTGCATGGCTTTGCTCTGCCTTCCCAGAGCCAATCCAGGACCCTGCCGCTGCCCCACACCCCCGCCCAGCTCCTGATGAGCAGCAGCAGCGATCTAGGCAAGCTGGAGGTCCAAGTCCTCTGTCCCATGCCTGGCAGTGTTCCACAACCCAGTGACCGCTGCCTGTGGTCACAACTTCCACTTAACCTGTCTCCAAGGTTTCTGGGACCACCAGACGACCA